CTGCGCTCTGTTGGCCCTCCGAGCTGTAGCGGTAGCCTCTTTTGTAGAATTTTAACCACTCCCCCAAAACACACCACTCCTACCACCAGCTAAACTGCAGCAACTCGGCCTAGAAGGTCGTGTTTCGAGCAGAGCACCTCCTCCACACTTTATCTGAAGTGCAACTAAGAACGCAGCAACGCCAGGAAGATTTCCGCGCGCTCAACAAATGCACAGCAAAAGCCTGGCAACACACAACGGCAACCTCCAAAAATTTTAGTCCAAGGTCGGCAGCAACTCACACACCATACCATCACAGGGTTCGGCCCAATAGCATAGTGGCAGATGTAAGTCAATAGCAGCAGCTTTTCCTAACGAATTCACACTTTACGATGTGAACAGATACCCTCCACTTCACCACAGTCACTCCTAGTGCTACAGTAAAAGTCTCTTGATGTCAAAATAACATCGATCACCCTCCAAACGCATTTCAGCAGCAAGAGTAAGTACGATGAAACCACAAACCCCTTTAACGACAGTTCAGTCTGCACACTCTGGCTAAAACCAAATGGCCAAGTGTTGTTCATCACGCGAAAGTTAATTAGTACTCTAACTTTGGTCATACGATAACCGCATTCTAACCCAAGGCAACAACCCACCATGTCGTCGCCAACGACAGCAACCAAACTGCAGGCTAATGTCGGTTATGCAGACTATCCCTAACAAGTAGGTGAGTGCCCTTACACCATCGATCTCCCTTTCTGCTTTCTGATTATCTTCCATGCACTTAGTTGTGATCAAGACCAGATGAGCACAAAGTCGAACTTTGAACGGAGTGAGTGCTTCATACGGCATCAGCCGACCAGGTAAGCCCCCCTCTCCTATTCCCTCTCTCAGTACATATGGTCAACGGTGTTGTCGGCTCTCGTCGATAGGACGGGCAGAGTCAGAGCGAATCCGTCGTCGGAACATGGGCCGATTTATGGCCAAGCTTTCCTAGTCCGTCCCATAGTCCTCACCCTGCCTTCCCCTTTCCCGTATGCATGCGTGCGCTCATTTTTTTTGGCCAAAACGGTTGTGCAGGCCCAAGACAGAATTTTCCCCCCTACGAATCGGGCATGCAGAATGAGAATGAGCCTCCCGCTAAAACCTGGGTAGATTCATTTCCTCCATTGTTTTTCCCATGCGCAGGGTAGAGCTTTTATACCACTATATCCTTTCAGTGACTCTCGAATCCGACTTCACTACCGGATTCGTCCATCCTCCAAATGGCCAGCTAACTCTCTAATTCGCTCGATTTCATAAGGAATCGAGCGAAATTTCGACCTCTTCTCCCATCACCCCTACATATCCGCGCTCCACTTTCCTTTACTAACTCCTTATTGGCTAACCTTTTGACCAATCTGCCTTCAAATTCGGGGTCGCCCACCCTAAAACCCTCCATCTATCATGTCCTGCCGCTCGATTCTACTAAGAAACGCGCGTGACACCCCTTTTTCCTCTTCAGCCATAGTTGTTCTCCCTCGATACCCTTTGCGCGGCCTCTTTCTCACATACCGACCAACTCACCAACCCATCATGGATTTTGACCGCACCATTCAACTCGCCGGCCATTAAACCCTCAAAAAAGTCTTTTGAATGATCAAAATCGGTGTAGAAACGCCCGATTCGTTCAACTTCCTATCTATGTTTTTTCTTTTCACCGCCATCTCCGACTACTTTGCGCAGTCGGATCTCCTCCTTGGCCCCTCCACGCTACTCTACTCTAAACTGACATCAGTATTGGACTCGCCAGCCCCCGAAACCTTAGTCTAGCTTCTCCTTGGCCTTCTTTTGCCAACAGACGAGTGAAGCTGCGGGCTCTTGCTCCACAATCGCCCAACCCGCATCCCCTCATCTTCACTTTCGAATGCACCCCGCGCAATATCGCGCCGGGGTTCATTTGTCCATCCCAACGTCCATGCTTCGCCCCATCCACTCGTTCCTCCTCATCACCCTCACCTTCTGTCCTCCGAACGCATCCGACACGACTTTGCGCCCGTATTCAATCTCCCTTCCCACTAGCACTTCACCCTTTTTTCTCTGCGCCCACCTTACCTCTTCGGTTGCATGGCTCATTTCTTTAGCCAGCACATTTCCTCCCGACAGTAGTAAACCCCACAGCAACCTTCAACCTGCTCAACAGCTCCCGCTGTCCTTAAGGAAACATCGGAGGGAATTAGCTACTAGACGGTGCGCTTAGTCTTTCGCCCCTACATTCAGGCCCTATGAACAGTGCGCCCAACTGGCTTTCACCGCCAACACGGTACAACCTCTTCCGGCCCGCCTTACTCCGGCTGGGCCCACCACCTCTTCTGGGTTTCCCTCGCCCCAGCTCTTCTTCAGCTTCTTAGCGGACCGGCCCTACCCCAGTCTCTCATAGCAGGTCGCGGGGCCGGGCGCGAGGGTCTGCCATATGCCCAAGTACGACGCTTGGGTGAAACGGCCCAGCGCAGATCTTCATAGTACAATAGGAAAATTG